TTATTATTAATATCTTTGTGCCTTGAGTCTGTTACTCGTTCTTAATTAGACTCGTTCTTCTAAAAGTTCTTCGAGAAATTCTACGAAATTCGATGTAACAACGTTTCGAATGACAATCTGTTTCAAATAGGAATTAACTAGATTTTCGATTTTTGAAATGGTTGAAAGATGCTAACCTAATTCTTAATCTTAATCTTAACCTCAAATATATAAATAAACAATAGAATTAGAAAATGTGAGAGAAATTTAAAACTTTCATTCAGAACTTTCTTCATTCAGAACTTTGCATGTTGATGAGGAGAGCGATGACAAAAATATTAAAATTTCCTAGAGATGTCATGCATATTATAATTCCCTAGCTTCCTTTGGATCACTTTCGGATTCACTTCAAGTCTGCCAAAGTTCAAATCGAATTTATCGAATCACACTTTAATAGAATCCATTCTCTCCTCGTCCCATTCACGGGGATAAATATTCCAATATTCGAACCATTTATTCTTCTCCACTACGATCATTTGATCCCAGATTCCAGCAAAAAAATTCGTGGCGCGACAAAGGGGAATACTCTTTCGAGGCTTACGCGGGCAAAAATTATACAATGGGGTTGGTGGCACGCGTTCGTAAGGGTTGCCAGAGAAAAGAGGGGTAAAGAGACGCGGTAATTATTATCATTGGAATTTATGGTGACGCAGGGATTATCCTTTCTACGTGTTCACTGCCCTGCAGAACCGCAAGAAACTATTATTACCCTCCCCCATGTTTCTTGTTTTGCCATACATCTGTCCCGGAGGACGCACTTGTCCTTAGGTAAAAGTCATAAATCAGCCTCTACCCTGGCTGCACACGAGTAGAATTCTGCCTCGAATAAAAAAAAAAAAACGAAGAATCGAACGATACAAGTGAACACGATAAGGGAATCGAAGTGTTCGCGATGCCTCCAGATAAGATTTCGCTTTTACTCGTCTCTGTCCGGTGAAAAATAGGATGGATGGATCGAGCAGCACATCGTTCAATCGAAATTCGATTGATAGGCATGGCGTTGAAATGAATTGATTTTGAAAGGAAGCTTGATGCGTTCTATAAATCGCTTGCTCATTGCTGAAATTGACGATAAAAGATAAAAATTTTATAGATCAAAAATTCCAATAAATTCAAAAAAAGATCGATCTTCCAGAATGAAATAAATAAAATAATTCGTTTCTAATCCGATTAATGTAAAAAAAATTCCAACTATCGATACTTTAACCATATCGCCATTAATAATATACGCGGTAAGGGTTTTATCTTCCGACTGAAATATCTCTGTTGCGACGGAGTTACATATTATTAGCCAGGATTAACATCAACTTTTTCTATAACATTTGATAAGGGACATTTGAAAGGATTCGAATACAAAGCGAATATATAACGAACATTGACATCAAAGAGATTTTTGTCATCAGGGGGGAAAAAAGCTACGATACCTTTCAGCCAGTATTAGGATGAATAAAAGATATCGGTCGAAACATATATATGTGCTTATACACAGACCATTAATTGTAAAATTCTATATTATTCTTTTTGAATAATGTTATCTTTAAAAAAATATATTCGTTTTAAATTATTATGTGAATTATTTTCATCTGTGTGAAACTATATACCTCGAACACATTAATACAAAATGGGGGATATCATCTTTCGATAAATGATAAGAAACAGAACGATCGTAAAACAAGGAAAAATACAATGAAATTCAAAATGAGTATGCATTCTCGAATTGAAAGCACGTTTTCAAAAAAAAAAATATTTTTGACAAAAATATTTTCTCCTTTATCTTATTCGGATTACTTGGAAAAATCATTATGACATACATTATATAGAATCAAGTATAGAAATCTTTACGACACGTAAATTTACTTTCCCATTAAACGCATCAGGTATATTAAGAGTTAATAAAACGGCAAACGAGATAACTTGTACGCGTGAATATCTTCTAAATTTGCGGTCGCGTTAAATCAACCTACGGTTGAAATATCCCTGGTTGAAATTCGATACAGAATCCAAGGTTCTTGTTGAAGTGCATTCGTTGGCCACGAAGTTTCTTTAACGCCTGAGCCAGGCCAGAAAGTGGAAGAATTATTGCGTTGTGTATAGATACGCCGTAGGAGGCGCTCCCATCGTAACTCTTTACGATCCATTCAGACGATAGCCGAAGGATCGATGGCCGAGCATTATTGTGAAATTTTCTTATTACGTGTAAAACGAGGAGCCGCGCGTGATTAACTATCTTTGAAAAGAACGGACAAGAACCAGATCGCTAATTAAAGTCGTCTGTATTACCATAGGTATACTACCGGTCGGGTGAGCGTGTGCAATTAATTCTCCGCAATATCTGGTTACCGTGCTACGCGGATACAAGAGTATAGATAAGTATAGGATAGGACGGGTGCAAGAAGGATGGAGTTATACTCGATTATTCGAATTTACGTCCTCTCTCGGAACTCTTGCTTCTCCTTTCGCGATTCTTGATACGACTTTTTTGCAATCCGTATATCCTTACTTCGGTCTGACATGATCGGAATTGCCACTTTAATAACGTTGGAATTGTGATATATCGTCGTAAGGTGTATTATTTAACTCGAAGGAAGGAAGGTAGCAAAAGGAAAACAGAAGAATCTCTCGTTTCCTCGAAAGCGAATGGGGAATCGTAACGAAGTTCTCTCAGAATATATGGCAAGCATATATACGTAAAATATACGTATTTACATCGATTCTAATTATCTTTCTAAGATAAGATATATTTAAATATTAATATATATAAATTAAGAATTTGATCAATAAATATATATATTACAGGAAATAATATAGTAAAAAAAAAAAAAAAAAAAATAGAACTAGAAGATTAAATTTACATTGTGGCAGGATTGGTCGTGATCCGTCTAACGTAAAACCGAGTTATAATTCGTTTCGCGTAACAGGCGTCAGTTGGTAGCCGCAAAAAGAAAAAGAAAAAAAAAAAGAAGAAGAAAAAAGAAAAAAGGAAATTTCACGCCGTAGAGCCGCTGTGAACACTGGTTCACCGCAAGTGTAAACCGATAATTATACAACAGCGTGCATTGGGTCCATGCATGTCGCAATTAACAGCCCCGCGACGTTTCGAACTCGCCGCTTAATTTCCTGTATAAAGTACACGGTCAATTATGTAAACGTCGCTCTCGTTACTTTCCCAGACGAAAGTGAACATCCGGCACGAGTGTGTTACGTCAAATCACGTTCGTTTAACGCGCGGCCGTGGACGTTCATTAGAGGAATTATTGGTAAAATAGATGTCACCATGTGCGTGAAATCCATCAACCATTGATATGGAAGGGAACGCTTGTTGCGTTGGTTGAATCGTCTCGCCTTTTTTATTTTAAAAAAAAATAATAAATCGAAGTTCAATATAGAAAGGAATTGTGTCGTTTAACTTGTACCTTCGGTTTTTTATCGTAAAAAAAGTAAAAGGAATTGTGATGACGTTGAGTCTAAAATAGATGAAAGTAATGAAAATTTTGTGGTAAAATTTTATTACAAGTTTCAGAGATCGAAGGGATATTCTTTTTTGAAGAAATTCATATTTTGATCAACATTGATCGTTCGTGATCTAATTTTTCGATAATAGAATAATATTCATAATGTTATAATTGGATAATAATGTAATATTACATTAGAAAAACGATCTTAAATCCCTTCGACGTGGAGACTCGTGTTTTTGGAAGAACGTTAACGAAGATCTTTCAGTTTCCTGAATTTTGAATATGTCGCAGTTCAAATTCGCTGCATTCGGCATGCAGGTGCAGAGATGTTGCATACATCCCTAATACTATCCAGTAAATTCAGTAGTTTCAACGTGAAGCCATTTTCGTGAATTTATAATGGACTGATTATTATTAGAAAGAGCGCGAAAGTCGAGAAAATTAAGTACGTTCCAAGTACAAAACCCCGAATTAATAATAGAACGGCGAGGAAAAATTTTTTCAAACGAGAAAGAACGAGGGAAATGTTTAACCTCGAAAATAGCAAACGGGTCACCGCTCACTGTCATAAATTCAGATCACGTCGCAATTCTTAACAAGATCCTTGAACGTGTCTTTATCCTAACTTGCATATCATCGTACACACGCGTACACGACCCGATGTTTAAAATCTCCAAGCATCTCGATTCTTTTTCTTCTTCTTTTTTTTTTTATTAGTCCAAAATTTTAATCAGTCCGTTAATTAAGCGTACATCGCGCATATCGTACACTCGATATAAAGAAGGAAAGAAAAATAATACAACTCCGGTCCATCCATCTAAATTTGTCGAGAAATTTGTTCGAAAGAATTAACTCTCGGTTGGGCAATGGCGCATCAACGTGGCAGAAAAGTGGCAGCGATGCGGCAGAATTTAAACGGTGCAAGTCACCCCGATTCTCAGGTGATCCTAAAATGGTCGATACGGGTGCCCCTATTACGCGGCCCGCCCTTAATTCAGAGTTACGCCACTGCGGCGTGCATCTACCTGTGAGGAAGAGGCTCCACACCGATGGGAGTCCTTCGATTATCCGGGCCAGAGGAGGCGAAAGAGCAAAGGTTGGTCTCGCAGTACGCGACGGAATGTCGCCGTTATATTGGCGAACCAAAAGACGCATGCGTCACCGTTCGAGGACTCGCCTGCTGCAATTTTGGAATCTTGTCAACAAACATCTCACTGCTGCCTTAACCGGTTACCTAGTCCAACCTTTCTCGCGTCCGTGCCTTTGATTTCTTTTTTTTTTTCCCCCCCACCGATCGAAGGTTGACAGTGTGCTCGAGCCGCGATATAGATCTCGTTCCGGAAACGTTTAGTCGGCATTAATCGAAAGATTTATCGGTGCATATCACGCGGCGTTATATCATTACACCGTCTGTCCACACGAAAAGGAACGAACAGGTCGCTTATTGAGAATGCATCCGGTGAACAATTATTGAGACAAACCGGAAAGTGATTCTTTTTCAAGGAGAGAAAAAGCTTTTTTCTTTTTTTCTATTGCGAGTGGAACGGGATCTGTGATACAGTGAGAAAGTGTCTTTGCATCGAATAAAAAAAAAAAGGAAAAAAGAAGAAAGGAAAAAAAGATTGATGAGTTGAGAACGGTTGAAAGGGGTTGTACACGCACGTGCCAGATAATGGAGGACGAGGAGACTGAAACCGATCGGTCGATCGCCGAGACTCTCTCCAAAAGGTAGAACAAAAAGATTAATTAACCATAGTGGAAACGAGTTCTGTTACACGAATCTGTTTCTGTATCTCTGTGGTGTAGTATCGGATTCCGGCGAATCGATATCGTCCTCGATCATCCTCAAAAGGTATATTACAGCGGACATCAGATCTCAGGGAACGTCCACTTGGAGCTGGATGAGCCGACCAACGCTTTAGGTAGGTAAGCCGTCCTCGTGGGCAATTTGAGAAAAGAACAGGGAACAGAATTTAATCAAGAACGATCACCTTTAGAGAAGAAAATAAGAGAATTTCGATCGCTCGTGCTATCATGCTCAATATCAAAGCAAAACGATGATTTGAGGCAAGCTTTCTCCTTCAGGTAGATATCGGAGAAAGTTGTTTCCAACGAGTGTTTGTCGGGAGTGAACTGTTAAAATTTATCAAATATTCGTGAACGGAAAGTAGATCGACTCTTAGATAGACTCTTTTGCGAAGAGACGTCGTAATTAATCTTTGAAAAATACGATTGTCGCAAATAAATTTGTGTCGCGAACAAGAGTGATAGTGGTTTCAAGTCTCTCTCTCTCTCTCTCTCTCTTTCTAGTTTTGGTAAACTTCCTTTTCTATCCGGGATATGTCGAAAACGGGTTAGTTGGTATGGATAGGTAGAGGGAAGATATTCGATTGGCTGGTTGTAACGAGGCACGATCAACTTGATATTTATTCTCGTGATGTTTACCCGTGTTGTCGGTTCGCAATCAAAAAAAATTTTCTTCTCTGCCGGAGTCGAATGCGTGCCAAACGTGCCATCGATCGAGTTGCATAACGGGTGACCTAAAAGACTTCGCTACGCTGAATACACGTCACCGGGGACGATGTGTACCACGTGATTCTGGTATTGCAGGAACGCTTTTAGAATGGATAGAGCTGAGAAAGAGTCTTTGCTATACGTAGAGTACATTCACGAGGTGAACCTTTTCTAAGTTTAGATGGATCGTTAAACAGTGTCTAATATGGTGTTGCCAGTTAAATATGTACATGTGTTTTGCACGTGCCCTTTGCTTAACAGATCTCAGTCTTTCGAAATCTTGCTAAATCTAGATCTTGTTTTTTCCTGTTCCAACATTTCGACTCAAATCTTTTTATTTGAATCATCTGCGGTTTTTAATTACGATAGAATTATATTATTGGTAATCGATAAAGTTTATTAAATAGATTAGAATACGTTGTTTCAATTAACCGTAATACTTAAATTTTTTTTCTTATTTAATCTACTTTTAGATTAGCACGTATTGCATCATGTTGCGTAAGATATGTCCTATGGCATTTTCTAAACGTAAAATTATTTTTTAATACATTTTAACAAAAAATTATATTTTACCACGAAGCATATAATATCGATGTATATTAAAATCGATATTATAATAAAACGTGGAAATATCATTGTATAGAAAATGCTTGTGCAGATGTATTCGGTAGAATATCTTAGTGCATATCTTAGAAGTCGTATCAAACGAAAACGAACGTTTTAGTTAATGTCCAGTTAAACGAAACACCTGCCAATAGAATTTCGAAACGCGAATTCCTGTTATCCGAACGAAAAATCAGACAGTGTACTCCACTCTGTACAAACTGTTTTTCCTTTTAACGAATTCGGACAAATGGAGTTGTACCAGTAGAATAACTTTAACTTTACGCGGACAACCCGAGTCATTTATACTCGCCATTCCTTTTTCTTCATTTGTTCGAGTTCAAATGATCTGAGAAATATCTTCTCGAAGATATTTCGTTATACGATCGCGTTTGAAAAATTAATTTTTTTCAACAAAAAAAAGGAAAAAAAATGGCACCCTCATAAATGACCCAGATTGGCCAACGAGGATTGAAGACGAACAATTTTTTTTCATAACACTTTCCTTCACCTTCATCTTTCCACGCAGGAATTAGACTAAAATGCAAGGGGGAGGCTCAAGTGTATTTCACCGATCGATCAGCTGGCATTCGACGTAAGTTTTCAGCGTTCGAGAATTATCTCCACGTGGAAACGTATGTGGTCGGCGGTAAGTAGAAGACATTGCAGATAGGCGAACGCGAGATGTCGGATTAACAGATTCTCGTCACGATGGTAGATGGTAAAGAAAAATCTGTGATAACTGGAGGCGTGTACCCGTTCAGCCTAACGCTCCCAGAGAAGTTGCCGTGCAGCTTCGAGGGCCGATACGGACGAGTACGATACTCGATTAGGGCATTGTTGGACGTAACGAGCATTTATCGGTTTTCCACCAATATTATTCCATTCACGGTGGCTCCTATTCTTGACCTTAATCGAGATCCTCTCGCTCCCGTGAGTAGAAATCTAACAACCAATCATATTCCCCTCGAGATGTGATTTCATTTCGTGGGATTCGATGCTCTTTCGAATTAAATGCTCGATCATTGCGCTTTCTTAACTTTCGTCGTGTTTTTAAATTTTCCGATCGTTTGTTTTCTTTTTAACGCGATTTGTTTCGTAGATGTCTCTACGAAATCTGATTGAAAGAAAAAAAAAAAGGAAATGGAAAATCTTTAATTTATTCGTAATAACAATTGGACAATTATTGTATATTGAAGGATGAATGCGCAAAGATTGAACTTGAATCGATATTGTATTTAAATAATACGAGAACAACGTGAAACAATCTTTTCAGTTGCCTATAAATATCAAACAATCGAAGATGTACATCGGCCAAACGGAACCCCTCACCGTGTCCATGTCTCTTCCGGTCCGAGGTTACGTCCCTGGCCAAGCTATACCAATCACGATACTCATGACGAACCTCTCTACAGTTGTGGTTACCAAAATTAGAATCGTTTTTAAAAAAGTAACCCTGTTCCTCATAAGTATCTTAAACAAATTATGAATATATAATTTGCTCTTTTTTCTTTTTTTTTAATCGCATGCTGCATAATCTTTAATTTCGTCTTATAGTTAAAAATACTATATTACAGCAGTATAATGTAAAAGTAGTTATATAACGTGCGTATATTATAGCGGTAGAGGAATTTCTATCTTCTATATAGAATTTTGCTTGAGAACAGCACATTTCGACGCGGCGTACATTGCAGTAAAAGTTATCTGGGTCATGCCCGTGATATATTTTCTTTTATTAGATCTCTAGATCCCTGGCATCAGGTTGTTCTAAATGGTGCATATTTTCATAGGTGGTGTCTTATCACTCGACGGAAAAGTCGCGTAAGCACAAAGAAATCATAGTAGAAGTAGAACAGCCCGTTAATAAAGACTCCGATACGTACGACGTCACGTTTGACGTTCCTGCAGTACCACCTACCGGGATGATCCACTGCAACATCATCGACGTTCTGTACACGCTTAAAGTGAGACTGTCTCGTATTTACCACGATAAAATCGGAATCGACCGATATTATATATAACTCCCCCCGGGAATCTAATTTCCATATTAATTGCTATTTTGTGTCGCCGGAGAAAGTAGAAAATTTATACAGAAAATTGTCTCAAAAATTCTTTCTCCTTCTCTTTTTCTTCCATCGTACTAATCTTTGCTCTCCTCTACATTTTTCGCGATTAATTATACTTGTATCTCTACACTCGGATCTCTATCCTATCTCGAACATTAATCTGAATAGACAGACATCTGGATAAATTTTGCATTTTAAAAAAAGAAATCTCGAGAAGAATTTTTGGAACAATCTCCTATTAATTCCTAACTTTTAACCCAACTTTTTCCGACACGATTTTATTCTCTTATTCAATTAATCAATTAATCGAGTCATGCCACTTAAATTATTCACGGATATGATTAAAAATATAACATTTGGTCGACACAAAATACACGGCCCCTCGTTGACAACGACCCATTGTCAGTTTCGTTTACGCGAGATGTCAACGAATCGGGCGAAGTAAAAAGAATCCTCGTTAAAATTAATCGGATCGTTAAACGTAGCGTATACACACGCCTTTCCGCCGATAGTGTGCGCGCGTATAAAACGAATATCCTTCCTTTTCTTCTTTCTTTTCTTTCTCTTTTTCACCGAAAGGTCGAGGCCTGCGTAGACGTGAGCGAGTGGTACTACAGAATGTTTCAGAAGAACTTGAAACTGCGAACAAATATAGTAGTCGGCACGGTGCCGCTTCAAAATTACGAGACCCCGCAAAAAACGGCGGACGTGACGGAGGATTTTTCGCTCCATCCCCGGTGCACCACGGCGACCATCACGGAGGACGACACGCAGCCGTTGAAAAACTCGGAGAGGGTGGAGAGGGGGAGGTCGAGTTTGTCTCGTACGTATTGCGCACGATATACACACACATCTGCCACTGCATGTGTTAATTACAGGTATTTGCGGGAAACTACAGGTTTACATTATCTCTCCTTTTCGAGAGAATACAAATATTCGGGAAGACTGCCACTTTGCCCCGCTTAATTAAAACTTTCTCCGTGAAATTTCTATTGGAACACTGTTGCGTTGCGCGCATCGAATACTACGAATAATTATATTTCAATAAGATATTATTTTGCGCAGAAGAGAAGAATGTGTGTTCCTTTTAACTAGTGTTGGAATTAATACAAATTTCTGTGAGAACGTTATTAAGCTTTGCGTAATTATTAATTGTGCGTTGAGAATTATGGAATCGTTAAAAAAATTTTATTGGAACACTGTTGCGCGCGTCGAATAATTATATTTCAATAAGATATTATTTTGCGCAGAAGAGAAGGAAAGAGAAGAATGTGTGTTCCCTTTAACTAGTGTTGGAATTAATACAAATTTCTGTGAGAACTTCTGTTATTAAGCTTTGCATAATTATTAATTATGGGGTCGTTGAAGAATCATTCTTATATTTTTATTAAGACAAATTAGATATTATCATAAAAAAAAAGTAATTTCATGTGTTATTTAAATTAACAAAGATGTTAATTAGAGGTTTAAAGAAAACTCTTTATCCTTTAACTCATCCTCTAAGAAATTTATTTTAATTTAGTCTGGAAAATTCGGTATTTCCATTCGAACAATAAGAGAATTCTATTCAACAAATATTTCAATCCTATCCGTTGTCCCTTAAATGAAACTAATTCATTTATCTCGACAAACCCCGCTATTTACAAAGTGGTACTAGCAACAGGAAAGCTAAACTCGTTGTTTCTTCCAGCAGCAGTGCCGTTGTACGAGAAAAGTCAAATATATCGATCCTCGAAACCGGACAAGGACGATCCCACGGGAGACGATGGTGACAGCGATGGAGAAGTCAAGCCGTACTCACCAATGTATCGCGTGTACAAATTCAAATCATCCCTGAAAAAGGCTCGTTAGACGCGTAGAGAGACAGAGAGAGAGAGAGAGAGAAAAAGAAGAAGAGATCGTTCGATTAATCGTTGAAATCGTTTCGTGTCCGCAACGGATATTCGCGAGAAGAGGAGAGAAGAATAAAAAATTGTGATGATTCATTGAAAGTAAAAGAGAATTGCCGTTTCCTGAAAAAAAATTTTATACAGTTCAAGCGTACGTGAAAAATATGTACGCGAACGAATTTTACGTCCAATTTAGCGCTGTATCGATCGACCGGTTGCCTTCGAATTCTTGCCTTTCGTTTCTTATTTTCTTACGCGAAAAAAAGGAGGAGAAAGAAAATAGCGGGGAAAGGATTATTAGAACGAGAGGTGGAGCACAGAGTGAGATATTAAAATCCGTTGGGACCAACCCGTGCAGCTAATTAAATTCCGTAATCACGCGAACAACTCGCGAGCAAAGTTATTCTGTAATAATTGTTCGAACCGTGCGAGCTACCGATACCATTGAAACCAAGTTTATGAAACACTTAACAACATGTATTGCTTTAAATGTTCAATAAAAATATTCTCCAGTTGAGAACGAATTTTTTCCCCTCCCCTCCTCCTATTATAATTATTCCCCTCTGATAATATCAGATCAAAAAAAGGGGTCAGTTATTAGGTTGTTCGTATCGATATCTGATACAATACGTACAACAGATATATATTTTGTTGAATACGATTAAGAAAGATAATTTGTTTGGCTGGTAAAAAAAGATTAAGAGATCGGGTTTATTATATGGTTAAAGAAAATAACACGTACGTACGTTAAATCGTGAAATGAAAGTTTAATTAAACCCTTGAAATATAAATCAGCCGTAAATAGCAATATGAATATTCATAATAATAGATTAATCAGTGGAAATACACGATCAAGAAATTAAAAATTAACACACATGATATAGGTGACTCTTAATATTGATCAAAATGCAAATTTACTAATCCATTCCCATTAAAAAAATATCATCCTTCAAAAAAGTTCGCGAAAAAACCTACCTAAAACAAAACCTACCTAAAACGATTATACAAAAAATATTTGTATATTTTATATTAATTACTTATATCCAAGTGCATTTTGTGATCGATTAGTGATCATGAAATCATTTTGTTATTATAAAAAATGAAATTTAGAATTTGACAAGAAAAATTTCATCGAAATAATTTAATCGTATAATTCGAAAAGGATACAAAAAGGAAAAAAAATTCGATTAAAGATGGAAAAAATACATTTCAAAAATTCTTATTCGTATTGATCATTAAAACTGTTCCAACTTGGCACAATTCATAATTTTCTCAACGCACGCACGAGGGAAATGTAGAAATGTCTCGTTCGTGTTGCACATTTGAATTAATGATGTCGTTAATATCCGATTCAACGATAACGCGTATCGATCTTGTCTCGAAAACGGAATTACAGAGAACGATAGCCGAATCGAATGGCGAGTAATCGGTGTACGAGAATCGATGAATGAAAAAAGTCAAAAGAGAAGATTGGGTCTGGTTACCGATGCCACGAGACTTCCGGTGATCGTAGCCCGCCATTCAATGGAAGAAAATAAAAATGCGTTCGATACGGTAGCAGAATTGTAAACTGCCATCGGTTATTTGGCAAACAGTGAATGTCACGAACGGTGTTTCCTGCCGCTTCTTTTTTCATTCAATATTTTCCATTCAAACTTTTATATTTGACAAAATCTAGAGACATTCTCAAGCACAAGCAGTTCAATCGATAATTCCACCATTTATGCGGCATCTAAACATAATATTTTCTTGCTGCGCGCCATCCAACTTTCAAATTATCGAAATGCATCGCATACGAAGTTAAACATCAATTTTTTGACTACATTTTGTTTCGACTTCTTGGGATCGAATTCTTGATTTTGAGATCGGAACGACGATGGAAAGCTTGCTCCAACTTTGACCGCTTTCGATATCGCAACATTGGGTCTTTGATTACGGTAGCCGTCTAGCAAACGCTTCCTCTCCTCCTCTGTTCTCCTACGACGCCGTTACATCTTTCTCCAACGTGGTGTTTACATCTACTTTGAAAGACCACATCATAGGTGGCCAAGTCTGGAGGTTTGGCTTAATCACGATCCTACACCAGAAGGTTATCCTAATTTCATAGTGATTAAACGTTCCGGGCCGGTAGCATCGACCAAGGGAATTCGCAAAATTCACGAAAATTGCAACTTTCTTGCAAATCAACCGATCCTTACTTGAAATTTCCTTAAAATTAATTAATTCTTCGTTTTATTGTAACATTGAATTTCATTTTTTCTTCTTATATAGATAAAAATTAACGAATTATTCTTTGTAAGAATCCTTTCTTCTTATATCCTAATCGTTCATATTTTGATTTTATACTTTAAACGCGATATTGAAATAGAAAATAGCCAATGCTATTTATAGGTTAAAGAACTTAGAATTATTCGTACGCATCTACGCATTCTATTCGAGGAAAGGAAGGAACGAAAGCTCGTTGTGTTCGGCGACGAATCGATCTTTCACCGAGGTCAGGTCGCTTCGATATACGTCGAAGCCACGGCGTCAAAGTGTGCACCTAATTAAAAGTTCGTACTACTTTTGTGGAAAGTGGTGTGGTTCGGTGTTACAAGCATCGGCTGTCAACCGAGAACGAGTCTTCGACAAAGAAACTGTCGCTTGCATTTCGAATCTCTCTCGTATCGTAATTGAGAAAATTCTTCTCTTCTCCTCGCAAACAGCGAACTTTTTCGTTCGTCCACGATAAAACGTTTGATTAAAAAAAAAAAAGAAAAGAAAAGAAAAGAAAAGAACAATGGAAAAATAAGAAAAACTGAATCGTTACGAGGACAAATAATTTTGCCTTGTTCAATGCAGTTGCAAATCTTTGAATTTTACTCGAAGAGAGATTTTTGTATACTCTCTCGTTCCATTATCCGTTAATTATCCTGAATTAAATTATTTATAAATAACTTCTTTGTCATAACTTCAAGATATATTTGCAATCTTATGGAAGGTTTATAAAAATATCGATACGACGAAAGATCAAAGACTTCTTCAAGGTCACAGGATATGGTAAAAAGAATCCAAGTAAAATATTAACGCATCCACGATGCACGTACATGGAAAATGTCACAGCTATTTTCATTGGTTCAACTTACGTGTGTACGTAACAAACTCTGATTGGAGCAAATCCACGTAAACTCGTCTCCTGCCAGGGGCGGTGCGGGAAATTCAGAGGAAACTTTATCCTTCGGTTGGCAAGTGCCAACATTGCACGCTACCTTGAAAGCGCCTCATTGTATTGCAAACCCGATTTTCAGAGTCTACAGACCCGAAGAAAAGAATAAGCAGTCGGGTGGGATTGAGTGCATTGGCTGCTTACCTCATAAAGTATTACCCTTCGATTTTTCCAAACAATAGATACAACCCCCGACTCCAGCTTCGAGTCTCCAATTCCTTTATTTCTCCTATTATTTTAATTCCAACACGAAGAAGTCGAAAATTATGAAACATTTAAGATGTACGTAACCACTTGTGCTCGAAAACTCGAAAACTTCAAGTTCGTTTCAAGGCAAGATCAACTTTTTCGTGCTTCATTTGGTTAAACAAATGTCGATCAACCAGCAATCTATGTATATTTCTGGTTTTCGAGATTTTAATGAAATTGTAATACATCATTAATCGTCGAAGGCAGGATTAAAATTGAAATGAAAGTTGGCCGCGTGATGCTCGAACGATGCGACGACTCACCCCCTCACCACCCTTCTTCCTTTGAATTTCACCGGTCGATCCTTCGAGAATCACAAACGTTTCCGCGAAGACTAAGCACCGACCGACCGACCGTTTTCATTTTCCTTCGGGAGGATCGTTCACGTTGAATTTAAATCCCCTTCGCTTCTCCTATCTTTCTTCCCCCGGAATCGTATTATTGCATATAATTCTCTGAAGACGCATGAGAACGATACACCCGCAAAAAGGAATCGCAGCAAGGATTTACGAGCGCGTGATTAAAACGTTTGTAAAACGGTCTCACAGGCATGAATTGCTGGCAAGCTAAATCACTTTTGACCTTATTATTGCCCTTTTACAGCATTTTCCACCATGAACAAGGTTTTAAGATCGCTATTCGTTTCTCGTCCCCTTATTCAATTCTTTCGTTCATAGTTGTGCCTACGGCTTTGAGGAAATCTCGATGCTTCTTTGCCACTCCTTCAAAGCTATCTTTACTTTTAACCCGTTTCTAATGAACGTTAAATGCTGCCACTTAACCCAAACTACTCGATATATATTTGATGCTGTGAACCATCTTTGTAAATTTATTCCTTGTTTAATAAAAAATAATCGTTCATCTTCCCTGTTTAATTCAATTAATTCGTTTGCTCGAATTTCGAGATGCAAAGAAGCTATGTTGATCGGTAAGAGAATTGTTGAGAACATTCTGATAAAAATTTGAAAAAAAGGAAATTTCTGTTACATCTAAAGTATGGGATAAATCTTAATCCAAATCGATGAAAGATACTTTTAGAACTTGCTCGTTTCAACTCTAATCTAAATAATTTATTCATCCATTCTTAATTCCTGTTCAATTTCATTTTTTTTAACTTGTTCGTCAGACACCAGCAGTTGTATCTAATTCAAGGTAAACCGTTTAATAGGTGAATTCGGAGTTTCCTTGCATCTCGAACATTTTCCAATCTTTGCTTCCCCCAAAATTGTCGAGTGTTATCGCTCGGTTCGTTAAAACCGTGATTGTGTCATGGCCTCCGTAGGTAAATCCGGGACTTATTGAGCCGCGTAGTTAAGTACGGACGGTTAAAACAATTAGCCGCCCTCGACGCGGCTGCACTAGCCTCGGTGTAAACAGCCCTCACCGGTAATTCTGTTATCGGCGCTGGGCGAGCATTCATAGGCTTAACGGGGCTTATTTCTCCCTCTCTTCCTCTTCTGTCCACTTACTCCTCTTTCTCTTTCCAACCTAGCCTTCCGGTGTTGAATTAATAGTCAACTTTCATCGTAGTGCATCAATTCGAACGACATCACCGATCAAGTCAATTTTCTCGATAAAGAAGAGATTTATCATTGTTTCTCCGTTCATCAAAACTACGTAGTGACGATAGTGCATATATTCTCTCCTTCTTTGTTTTCGAAATCGACGACAATATGTTTGTGACGAGTTGCACGCAATTGTACGATTGTAGTAATTGCAACAGAAGCAAATATCTCAAATATATTTATTTTCTATATATTACGGATATTAATTTATTTATATATCGTTGTTAATAATAAATTGGAGGAATAAGAATCGTGATAAATTGATGAACAATCCGTCATCCGCGTATCGAAAAGTATATAATCGTTGCGCGATAAAAAGAAAATTAGAATAATCGTGCCGTCGATATTCGCATATGCCGACAGGATTAAATTATCGAAATTATTTCCCGGATTCTCGATTTATTTCGCAAAGCAATAATATCAAAATCATCCGATCTGGCATTCCAACGTTTTTCAGTTATATATATATTTTAGGTTTTAAATGTTAATGGCAAAA